TAGCTTAAATAGGCCGCGTCATAGCCCTACGGGCTGCATACGCGTAATGAGAGAAAAAAAAAAAAAAAAAGATATCTTCTTTCTTATTTATAGTACTAAAGAGTTTATCCTTAAGACGCTTGGCCTAATCGTCAATTAAGGCTAAAAAAAGAGTTTTCTTATCGTATATTTATACGATAGTACGGTCGAGGTCGATAGCGACCGAATGGAGGTCTATTACCTACTACTTATAGGCGATCATCATATTATGGCGTAACTTGAACTCGATGAATATACTCTCTAGGTGCTTATAGACTAGCTTAGTAAAGTCATTATAGTCCATCTAGCCTTCGAAAGGGATCTAACCCTCGTTGGCTTCTATAAGAACCTGGAAGGGAATGACTGGGGCCGTTTTTCCGCTCTAGGGGTTGACGTCTACCAAGGTCTATAGTCGGGCCACCAGGTCTTTAACTAGGTCTTCTATCGTATTAGTAAAACGAATATCGGGAAGAAGACCCTTCATTCCTTGGATCCATTCCGATAGGTTCTCTAGTTCAGGTGTTCCTAAACGACTACCCTGGGGACTTCCTTGGGTAGTTACTGTGGCGTAATCGATGCTAATACCGACTGCCGTCGATCTTCGACGTAGCGAGGTATTAGGTCGACGCTTGTCGCCATTAATGAAGCTCTCTGCGGCTTCTAGGTCAAACCTAACCTCCTGCTGAGCACGCTCGCGCTCAGGCTTCGACATCGAAGTGCTCTGGGGCATAATGTCGGTAGTACGTGGCGATCGCGCCGCGTATTAGTTCTGGGGGGTTCTGGGTTCCTGACGATTCTTCTCGCGTGGTCGTACGCGATCGTCAATCAAGGGTGGGATATTATTTGGGCCTTCCCAGGCAAAGGAAAAGAGCTTAGTTAAATGTGAAGGCAGGCACATACAAGAGGCGAGGCTGCAAGTAAATAGTGACTAGATTCGTAGATAACTAAGCTAAAGAAAGGAAAAGGAAAAGAAGAAGCCTGCGTGCCCTGCAGGCTGGCAGTTTTGTGGTGGTGTGCGGGGTCGTGGCCCTAGTCCCGATTGGGAGGAGTGGGGCCTTCACATCAGGGCTTGCAGCTAGGGCATGGTTGCGGCACCACGGACCTCAGTTCGGCCGTGCCGTGACAATTACCTTACGAAGTCGGATCGGATCGAGGACCCCAGTTCATAGCGGACTTTACCGACGAAATGTCCAGACTACTCGGGATTAAGTAGAAGCTCTCTTCTACTAGACACTCTCAGAGCACCGGCCAAGCAGAAATCATGAACTAATATATCGACTAACGTCTACGACCTTTCGTTAACTATTACTAGGATAACTAGTCTAGAGCGATGCCCGCCATAGACGCCGTAGCGGGCTCCTTACCATATGACAGTACAGGACTATCCCTATACGAGGTCCTAATAGGTTTCCCGATGAACTTACCGTTCGACTGGAGCGCGAGGACCCCCCTCGATACCACTATTCCTTACCGCGAACGGCTCAACAGACAAGAAGCTCAGGATATAGCGAAACGTATATAGGGATTTGTCAACTCGGCCAAAGACACGATGCGTTTGGTATAGTAGAGGCAGGCGAAGCAGGCTAACAAGCATCGTAGGGAACCTAACTTCGGTCCCGGCGACTACGTCTTCATCATTAAGAAATCCTAGTCTACTGACCGCCCGAGCGATAAGCTAGACTACCCGTTAACACGCCGCCACTATAAGATCCTTAGCATGGTAGGACACTCCTACCAACTGGAAGTCCCGGACGGTTGGAAGGGCTCCTCAGTATTTCACACCGATCGCCTAAGGAAGTACCCAAACAACCCCGTACCGGGACAGACCAACGATAACCCGCCAGGAGAGCTATTTGACAATAAGGAGGAATAGGAAGTAGATAAGATTATTACTTCCCGAACAAACCGAAACGTACTCCAATACCAGGTGGAATAGCGCGGATAGGATCCAGATCCAACGTAGTACGATACATCAGGATTCAAGAATACGCCCCTGAAGCTGGCCGACTTCCACAACCAACACCCCGACAATACAGGCCCGCCGAAGCGACTACAACAGTGGCGCGAGGCGTGCGAGCGCGACGAAATTGATCCACCTCACGAAGACGATAATACAGCGATGGACTCCGGAGTTATGCGTATACGCCGATCAATACGAAAGAAATGAAGCGGTTTATTCCAGAAGGTTACTTGTTCGATTACTATTGGTGGCCACAAATTTTTTTTTTTCTTTTCATACAAAGGACTCGAGGGCGAGCCTTTTTTCGGAAGGGGGGGGTGATGTCACGGTCGGCACCAGCGCCAAGGCCCCACCACGGATTTAAGCTCATCACTAGCCCCGATTAGGATTAGTCGCACGTGACCTCCCGCAAGCCCCAGAGGTCCGTGCTCCCTGAGCCCTAGCCCATACTTACCCCGCGACCATAATCGCACCTTTGTAGATTTTCTTCCTTTCTTCTTGTTAAAGTATGGCTAGTTACTAGGGTTGTAGGTCCTGAAGTGCAGGGCACTGCAGTAGCTGTGTTGGAGTTGTGAGTGTTGTGGCTGTTGTGTGGTGCTGAGGGCGCTATACCTAGATTGTTTACCTTGCCCCACAGCACCCTCTCGAAACCCCTATACGTCTTGGCACACGTAAGACAAGCCCACTAGAAGACTATAGAATACAGAGCTGTCTACGAAGCCTGTGGGCCTCTAGAACCTTCTAGAGAGCCCACCTTAGGTCTATATAGACCTGTCCTTTCTCTTAGACAGATTTCCTTAAGCAAGCAAGCAAGCCTCTTGTTGTGAGTATAAAAGAAAGCAACAAGCAAGCACTGCACTCACCACTCTTTGTACTATACTTCTTCCATAATACAACTCCTCTCCGTCTTCTTCAGCACCCACAGTTGGTCCCGAAGACCCTGACTGCAGGGCAGAGTCCCCTACAGCCTACGAGGTAGACTGCTGAGCAGAGTCCTCACAGTCTGAGTGGCAGGCCTGTAGCAGAGTTCTACAGACCTGTAGTCAGTCAGCCTGCTTCCCTCAGTGCCTTGCAGAAGCACTGTTGTATCGGACCGTAGGGCACAGCTCCCTACAGTCTACCCTGCACTTGATCGACCTACCCTGCACTTGGTTCCCGATATACGCTACACGCCTTGCTTCCGCTGCGCCTGCTGCCCTGCGCACCCTGTATAGGTGCTGAGTTCAGGCCTATACAGGAACGTAGTTCAACACTTCTTCACCTTAGAATCCTTAGACTATGGTATAGCTATATTAGCGATCCTTTTCCTAGTTGCTATTGACCGCTGTCACACCAGCCACACAGCCAGCCCTACCTACTGGAAAACCTAGATCCGGAGTAATACAGTGCTATCGATGCTTTGGCTTCGGCCATATCGCTAGCACTTGTACTGGGCCCCAGATCTGTGGCTTCTGTAGCCGGCCAGGCCACATCTCAACGCAATGCCAGGAAAAAGTAACGAAAAAGCCGCCAAGTTGCATCAACTGTACTGGCCTACACCAAGCCTGGGCCTTGAAGTGCCCCCAAAGACCTCCCTCAGGCCCGGAACCAGGCCCGGAACTAGGCCCGGAACCAGGCCTACAACGCTCTCAAGCCGCATCCTTGCCTCGGCAGCGGCTTACCTACGCCGAGGTGGCTAGTAGGCAGCCAACTCGTAAGCAAGCCGGTCAACCAGCCCGCCAGCCAGCCTGCCAACCAGCCCTCAAGCCAGCTCCCCAGCCATACGAGGATTCCCTAGCTACTATCTTACAGTTGGTTTTAAAACTACTACAAAATAGATAGCTTAGCTTAATTACCCTCTCTCTCCCTTTCCTTACTTACCCTCCTTTTAGGTACATGATACCTTACCCGCTTTGACTTGAAAAACGTACACGGAATAAGAACCTTACTTTATATAGGACTTTGGCTAGGATTTTCTACGTCTAGTATGCCCTATTAGATTAGTCTTTCCTTATAACTTTCTAGATAGCCGTCTATAGCTTAAATAGGCCGCGTTATAGCCCTACGGGCTGCATACGCGTAATGAGAGAAAAAAAAAAAAACGAAATTTTTAACCACAAAACGGCCAAGTAAGAAGCTAGACTTCAAGCGGATTGGACCGTTCAAAGTTAAGAAGAAGGTTACGACATCCAACTACGTACTATCCTTACCTAGTACGATGAAGCTAAGGACGAATATCTTTTATATTTCGCTTTTAGAACTAGCGCCGAAGAACGCGCGGCTGGCCTAGGATATCGAAGTCGAGGACTTCGAGGAAGAATACGATATTAAGTAGGTTTTAGACTCTCGTATTATAAAAGGAGAGCTTTAATACCTAATCAAATGGCTTGATTATGGGAATAAGGAGAACTCGTAGGAACTAGTTTTATTTTTAAGCTACCCAGAGAAGATCCAAGAATTCTACTAACGAAATCCAGACCGGCCTAAGGAGCCTACTATTACGGATCCCGTCACATACTGGGCAGCCTGCACGTGCGGGAAGGTCCGGTGCGGGTCCCGCCCCGCCAATCAGCGTATGCCCGGCGAAGAAAGCTTGACTGGCGCCGGGCGCGCAGTTGCCCGGCCAATCAGGATGTGCCCGGTGGGCAGGTATCACTTGGCGCCGGGCAAGCGGTTGCCCGACTACCTGGTACTGCTCAGTGCTGGGTAATACCGACAAGGTGGGCAAGTAAGAGCTGGGCTCTTATTGGCCACTATAGATAGATATATATAACGACCGTAGCCACGGTCTTAGATAGAGCTTGCTTAGTTCCTCAAGCAAGCAATACACATTCTCTACACTCATACACTTTAAGTGGCAAACCCAGTTTGACTATATTACCCGTACAATAGGAGCTTGCCCTTTGTTCATTCTTCATACCTACTCCTCAGACCCCCAGTGCCTGTGCACGATACAACCTTGACCCACACAGTCGAGCGGTTTGTAATACCTACGTAGGTAGCTCCAAGGCGCCGGGGACGATCCAGAAAAATACAAAAATAATAAATCGCGCAGGATTCGAACCTACGACCTCGTACTGGCTCCCACCAACCGGAATGGCCAAGGCCATTTCCGGCTGGCGAGATACGCGGCAATACGTTATACCACTAGACTAGCGACCCTACTCAATTATTGAGAACCGCTCCGCGCAACGCGCTACATTAAGGCCCAGTCGTAGAACCCGCGGCAGGCGCCTGCGGGGACTCAGTCAATTGGGGCACATCGCCGGTCCAGTTAAAAAAGGAAGGCGTGGGCGAAGAGAAGCCTAGTAAGGCAGGATCGAGGGAGGAAAAGGCCGCAGGAGCCGAGGCGGAAGGAGCGGGCGCCGGGTTGTTCTTTTCGAATTCAACTATGCCACGCCCAAAGAGCTCTTTCCCTCTCTCTCTCAAATTCTTACGGCGACGACGAACCGCGAGAATACGGGTCTGGAGCTCAGAAAGCTTGCCCGTAATCTGGAGCCACTCGTCGGTAAGATCTTCTTCCTCCGCACCAAGGCCTTGTTCCTCTTCTATGTTGCGGGCGACTAGAAGGATAAGTAGAGGGCAGGAAGGAAGGAAAAGGGAGGAGCGTACGGGCAGAAGCAAAGTCGTTCCCGCTACACTGTACCTTACGGTCGATGCATTCGCGGCAGCGTTTCGAGCGCTTAGCGATAATGCACTCGCGACCATAACGGTAGCAGTTAGCGCACGGCATTGGGGAAGAAGCGCCGTACGAGTGCACAAAGGCCGAGAGCACCGAGTCGGTATCAAGTTTGCGCTAAGAGCGACGAGTTTTTCCTATACGGTTAGACATCCTGGGTAGCGTGATGAAGAGGGGAAGATCGCCTACCAGAAGAGAGCGTCGAGACTGACGGAAGGCGTTGGTTGTCGGGGCGCCAACCTCGGAGGAGGGGCATCGTGTTACGAATCCCTGGAGAAATGCACGAGGGCGGGGCAGTCACTGTTTGGTGCGGACCAATCAGGAGTGTCCCAGGGTCCCGAGCCCTGGAGGCTCGGGACACCGGGACCCTGCGCGTGGTCCCGGGGCCCCGGTGTACGGACCCTCGGAACCAAGGGACATCATTGATTGGCTCCCTTAGCTAGATATATACGATGACCGTAGCCACGGTCTTAGATAGAGCTTGCTTGGTTCTTCAAGCAAGCAATACACATTCTCTACACTCATATACTTTGAGTGGCAAATCCAGTTTGACTGTATTACCCGTGCAATAGGAGCTTGCCCTTTGTTCATTCTTTATACCTACTCCTCAGACCCCCAGTGCCTGTGCACGATACAACCTTGACCCACACAGTCGAGCGGTTTGTAATAATATGCCGGTTTTCAAGAAGAGTCAACATACTCGTACGGTAGGAATTGTCTTGCCATATGGTGGGTGCATACCTCAACGACAGCGTGTTTTACTAATAGCTTAGACGGATTTCTCTATTTTTAATGGTGTTAAGGCGAGCTGTAATAGCGACAAAAGCTAAGCCGCTGCTGGTTAAGATTTTCAGAGTGCTTCTTATTAAATTATTATTTCATTTCAAGTCCGTTATCGATTTCTCTACGTTCGTATTATCTATTTGTCTTGGATTGGGATATCCTTTCCCATTATCTTTCGGTAGCCCGTCCGGATACCGTCTGAGATCTTCTCGTCCTTGGCTTGCTCGCCGCCGCTCTCATTCCTCTGCTGCCCTTGCTTGAATACCTTCTCCTGGACCAGATCGACGCCTGTTGGTTTCGGCTATCAGCTTGGGGGTCTAATACATAAAGCAACGAGTGGCAGGTTGTCACGTACCCTTGTCAAGGTAATCCTCGTTCTTCTCGCTCGCGCCCTTGCCAGAGCTGCTGGTGGCGGACTTGATCTTGTTGACGAATGAATCCATGTTGGTGATTGTAGAGGAGTGGTAGTGCTGTGTTGAAAAATGGTGATGTTGGAGAGTGTGTTTGTTGGTAGAGAGAGAGAGAATATGCTGGGATTTCAACAAAGGGCAGCGACCTTTATGGCCGTGCTCAATGTCGGGATGAGGCCTATGATGTCACTGTGGATACCGTAGTGCCAAGACATGACCCGATATCATATCCTGCTCCGCCCCCAGGATAGAGGGGTAGGAGCCGCTTTTGGAGTCGGCAATCTGTTATTGCGCAATGCGAACAGGCCACAAACGAGTAATACCCCCAACAAACCGGGTCTCGCCCGTCTCTCTGTAGGAATGCGCGCGGTTGGATAGGTACTGTACCTTAGGTCCCTTGTCCTTGCGGCGAGGCGAGTCCGTGACCACGGCTCCAGAAATGCAGGGTCTACGACAAGCCTGCTTCTGATCGCCATCCAAGCTCTCCTTTCTACACGTGTAGTTAAAGTTACCTACTGGTGACCTCCACAGTCAGTCGTAGTGTCGATCGTCCAACTTCGGGCCGGGTCTCCCGGAGATATCGGGGTGAAGAATGCTCGAGTACAGGGCCCGCCAATAGTTAAGGTTAGCGTCAGGGGTAATTAAGCATCTTCGTGTATCAGAACGACGCAGTTGTCCTTGACAGGATTTTGGAGTGGCATGCGTGGGGAATATTGCTGTTATGGTTTTATGGCAATTCACCTGATGTGATGCATCAACGCGATCATATAATTAGTCAAGCGGGGTTCGCGAAGCTACCCAGCCAACCGGCCTCCGACCGACCAAGCCTGGCAGAGTCCATGATATCTTGGCCACGAAAGTGAGTAAACTGAGTTCCGTTTTCTCTTATAACGCTCGCTTGATCTTTCCCTAGTTGACACCTGGTGTTTCTTACGCAAATCATATGCTAAAACTTGGATGCGCCGACATACGTTGAAGTCTAGATGAGTTTGGTCCAGATTGTTTCACCCCAAACAAAATAAAATGGCAAAAGGGGACGCGCCGAGGGATTGGTGACGGACAGTTATTACGTCTTGCGAGCAATTGGAAACCCTGCAGGCCGATTCGACCAGAGTGTGAGTCCGGACAAGCAGCTCCCGAGTTGTTAGTTGTTGCCGTCAGGGTTGGGTTGATTACCTTACCTAGGTACCGGGTATGTGTGGTGGCTGTGCCCAGAGCTGAAGCGCAAACAGCAGAACATGGATGCCAACCCAGGAGATGGATGATACGCGACAAGACCTATCTTTAGTTCTCGGGCACCATCGCCTTACCCATCTTGCCCGTAAGCATTCCTTAATCGGGCTAATTATCCTGCCTGCGATTGCCTCGGGCTGCAAACAGAGTGCATTGTTTCTGCTTTCATTGTGTCAGGGTGCGGCGAAGGCACCTTCCCATTGGAGAACCCATGCCTGCTTGCCGCCTCGCTCTTGCTCCTCAGCCTCGACGCCTCAGCTTCGTCAATTAAACCCCGGGCCAATTAACCACGCAGCTCTTGGACTTGGCATCAAATCTGTGACAGTTCCTTGCCTTGGCGGACGTCTCCGCCACAGATCCTACAGCCTCGTTCCGCGACAACTACAGGTACCTAATAATATCCAGAAATGGGTTTCGGTGTCGGGTTTGGCTCGTGTAACTGTGCTCCCTGGTCTCGCAGAACGCGTTGAAGCAAATGAAACCCAATCACGACTCTGGTATTTATGAAGATGATCCGCCCCCCCACTCTGTCAGGGGCCGATCACCTGGTCGGTACACGACATGCCTGCGTAGGTAATCAATCACTCTCGTTTTTCTCGTTGGTTCTTGTTATGCCATGTCCTATTCACAGTGCAAATTGCTCTTGGTTTTCTTTTACTATGTCTGGAACACGGCTGCTCTCAATCTTGTCCCCATCCCCGCTCAACATCCGTCCCTGCTACTCAAGCGCCAGGCAGACAACACGCGGGAGTCCGGCGACGGCCTTGGGGTGGAACTAGTTGACTTCGAGAGCTTCTACTGGGGCGGCTATGGTAAGTCGGATTGTCATGCCATCTCTTTGATCTGACAATTAATCAGTTGCTGACCGATGTGCAGGAGGCGATAATCTCGTCTACGCAAACCTGACGCTCCTCTACAAGGATGAGTTTGAGTTCATCATCAACATGGAGCGGTTTGACGGCCTTCTCCAGTCTGTCGCGTGTGAACAGCCCATGACTCTGGAGTTCAGGGACGAGCCATCTTTCACCCAGGTTAGCACAATCTGGAACTGGGTCAACGACGATGTCAATAACACCTTCGTCATGGTGACCGACAGGTGCGGCACTGGCGCAGATGTAGACCGTCAACCCTTTCTCGTCCGCAACATGAAGTTTGATGCGCCAAGCTTCAAGGTGCTCCTCGATGCCGAGCCCAAGGACTGGATCGACGTGGCCAAGAACTACACGTTCCACATTGGCTACGCGCCAGCGGTCAATGCCACTCCTGCTCTTGACCGTCGCGGTCCAGACTTTACCATGAGTCTGGCGAGCAGCTTCAACAGGAACCTGTTCCACCAGAAGGTCTCGGGCTTGGACCTCTCGGTCGACTGCTCGCACTGCGGCACCACCGGGCGGTTGCTCGTCGACTTTGACCTCGACGTTGGCTGGAAGGGCCCCAAGCTCTCGATGAAGGTGAACCCGCAAGACGTGGCTGCCTTTGTCCAGCTGACCATGTCGGCCGAGGGGACGCTCTCCAAAGCCTTCCGCTGGGAAAAGACGCTGGTGTCGATCCCGATTGAGGGTATCAAGATTAATAAGATTGGTAAGATTGGTGCTTTCCTGGACGTTGAGGTCGGCTTCAGTCTTGACGAGTGGAAGGGCGAGGTTGAGACCAGCTTCGGGGCCCAGATGGCGCTCTCCAATGCTGCTATCATTGACGTCAACGTCTTTGACCTTGCTCACGGCAAGTTCTCTGGATGGAATCCGGCACTCACGGCACTGCCATTTACACTCGGAGCCAAGGTAGCCGGCTCGGTGCAGCTCTACGCCCAGCCCTCAATATCACTCAGCGCCGAAGCCCTGAACCACGGCCTAGAGCTGAGCCTCGACCTTCGAATGCCCTATGTCGAAATTGACTTTGCCGCAGTTGCAAGCTCGGGCGGCGTGTGTGGGACGCAAAAGTCGGCCGGTGTTGATCTCGACGCATCGGCGGGGGTTGACCTGTCGGTTCAAGTGGCCAAGGCCGGAAACGAAGCAAACCCGCTTTGGGAGCAGACGCTATTCAACCAAGAATGGCCC